GGCCTGTTGTAGTCTTCACGGTTGAAATAATTTATTTTAATGTCACTTTAACACTGTTCGGCCAGGTTTTTTTACCCGTGTATTGCACACATAATTTTGCACATACTTTATACGTGTGCCCATACCCCTTCTTCCTTATTGCACAGAGGCCCCCGAGTATTTAAGGGGAGTGTTCCAGAGGGGACACTTAGACCTTTAAACACATCATAAATGAAAAATATATATATAAAAATTTGCTTAAACTGTACTATCTATACCTCGAGGTATGAATTTGATCGCAGTAGTGTTAATCTATTTTTTTTTTTTTTTTTTTGGACGTCTTAAAGGACTATTTTATCACTATAACCTGTATGACACTCCAATGTCGCATACTGAGAGATATTTTGAAATATACTATATACATAACAACAAATCATTTTTTTTTTTATCTAGCACAAAATAGTAAATATTATATTGCGCAACACTGAAATTACTATTATAATTATAAATTTTATTCGTGTCTTGTTTTATCGTTTAAACTACAAGAAACAAACAGTTGTAAAATATTTAGCTCGTGTTTCAACGAATATAATAGTATAATTAAATCAAACAAATCTGAATAAAATATTTTGTGTAAATAATGAGTGTATTTAAAGGCCGTTAAGCTCTAAAGTCTAATCTATTCTTTCTTTCGCTAAAAATTAAACTGCTCCATAACGTTTCATATTTTTGGACAGTTTTGGCGGTTATTTCATGTTAATACATCAATCACACTGTACAACTTTTAAGTAATACTGTTTTTTTTTTATTTTCTAGTACGTGAAATAGATTTACCATTATCAAAATATGTAAACCGAATAAACGTTTTTTTCAAAAATAATAATGATTTACGGTCCAGACCTGCGCACGTGGCTGTTTGCCACGTGTCTACTGAGGAAAAATAAATATTTGACTCTTTAAACATTATTCATAATAAATTTCCACCATGTATCAGCCAACGTATCAGATTAATTTGGGTTATTTTTGACGCATAATATTAGGGTAACATTTTTAACACATACGACGTGAGTTATGGCCATTGTGGTTGGTTGGAAAAACAAAGACAGTAATAATAGAAGTCCGTCCTGTGACAGATCAGAACAGTTTTGAATTTTCTAAAATCCAAGTATGTGGTTCAAACAAACAAAAATGATGAAAAAGTGGGTTTCACAGCGTTTTTTCAGTGTATGGCATTTCTCAGTATTTATGTTAAAAAAAAAAAGTGAACACTGAATACTAATGCACATTTAAATTGCGTTGTAACAAGGTAGGTAAACAACAATAGCCAGTATAACTACTAGTCATAAAAGTGATCTACCTCGATGTTGCTGGTGTGCTATTAAAATAAAAAAAAACATTAAATTTTTCCATACAACACGATGAAATACTTAATTTTTATCGTGTTTACATCCATAATAATAATATCTTAGTGATAGTGTTAATAAAGTGTTGGTCTGTGTGTTTTTCTGAAAGCGTTTGGACAGATAGACGTTTTGTTTTGGGTTACATGAAATTAACCGAAGAAGAAAGGAGACACCTAAGGTGACTTATACACACTGGCCACTGGGAAGGTAATAATAATTAATAGATTTTTATCGCAAAAGTATAATAAAAATATTATTATCATAAAATTCAATTGAGAACAACCGCCAAAATCGGTTTCCTGTGAATCCAAAATCTGTGGGAACTGTGCCAAAACACTGATACTCGAATATTATTTGAAAATTACACACACACACACACACTGGGCATGGAAATATCTCATGAAAGCGTCAAAAGCACAAAAACCAAAAGAGTAGATATTATATTTTAAGTATATTACCAAGTATTTTGGCCCTGGCCGATCAAATTGTAAGTATTGCTAAAATTAACGAGACACTCCTGATGAAAGCTTTTATGAATATTTCACCTTAGTCATTTTACTTTATAGGTGCTATAAAACATGCGCATAAACATATATTAATATAACTATGCTGTAAAAAAACACAACACAGCACTAACAGTGCTAAAAATGCTTTAATGCATATGTCTAAACGTTAAAATTTAACACGAACACATATTAGCGAAATTAATTCTTTTTATTACCTTTAAACTTAATTATCTATAAAAAAAAATAAAAACACAAACAATATACCTACACACGATTACCAACTCACATTTCTCCGGTGGCTGTAATCGCTGTAATCCTTTGTCTTGATTCCTATTCTTATGTGATAAATCTATCATCTGGGAAAATGAGTAAATCAAAACCCCATAGGTCCTCGTAGAAAATGTCAAAACTCTCTATGGACATTTATATCCACTACATATATATATATATATATATATATTTACAGTGTTGACAACCGAGTATAATATATTTTACACTTGTAGATATTTTTATTTTTAATTAGACCGAATAGAAGACATGTGTGTGTGTGTGTGTGATTTGGTCGTCGTATAAATACTTATAGATTTTAGTTAGAACTCTATAAATCACTCTTAGTAAAAAAACGAAAAATATCCTTACCCAAAAAACTAGAGTGATAATTAACAACAGCCTCTTGAAACATAATACGCACTTGGATTTCTTTTTGACTTGGTAAAAAAAAAAAAAAAAAAAACTGTACAATACACAATTTACCATGTTGGGTTTGTATAGAATAACTTGAAGTGAGTACATAAATTATTATAGATCCTGCGACGCTTCTGTTGTAATAATATATTCATACAATCATATATATATATATATATAAATAAAATATACATACAGTATTTGTATACATTTTAAAAACTATATTACATTCACTCACACGTGTACTATCAAAATAACATACAGGTATACTGTTTACTATCTTAACAATATCTCTAAATAATTCAAAAATACTTTTGGGCATCGAAAAGAACCGCGATTTGGGTCCAGACAAAAATAATAATAATAAAAGCACAAGCTTTACACATCTTAGTGTAACACATATTTTATCGTTTACATTCTTCTGTCTGCACTACAATATATAATACAACATTAAAACCAAAATAGTATCCGGATGATATTTGGAAATTTAAACATATATAATATTATATTATCCAGTCTTTGAAATAAAATTTCTATTAAACATGGTCCATGTTGACACGGTGTTACACTCAAGGCAAACGCCACTTTATTTACAACACTTATTATCCGTTCAAATCCAGTTTATTATCATTAACATGTATTTTGTGTTGTTCATGCCGTTTAAAAATATGACTAAGAATATTTTGCAAATAATTGCCTATACAAAACTCCTTAATAAACGAATGTATGTCGTCCCCTCTTAAGTAGTAAAAGGCAAAATAATATGCTGCAATTTGTATTTGCACAAATATAATATATGATATATTGTTAAGAACAGAATAATCTGCGTGTAAACACAGCTGCCAGCTTTACCTAAAATAGTATGTGTAACATTGTTTGACTTTGACTGGAAAATCATAATCTTTGCCGTTAACTTTTTTTTTTATTCTCGGTTTTAATTATAATCAAATACACGGTAATTATACTTTTCTACAGCCCGTTTTGCAACGACAATGTTTCTTTTTTACAAACTTTTGACAACAGTAACTCGGAAAAAATAAATTTAAACTAAATAACGTTTAAAATGGGCCTTTGATATAGTTATAATACACTTTTACCTGATACCCCGAATCTGTAATTTTTTCAAAATGTATTCCTTACATTGGCAATGGCTAGTTTTTTTAAATAACAAAAATAATTCAAATAATAGTACTCGATAAAACTCGATAAAGTTTATTTGTAACATTTTTGCCAAGACAAGAATAAAATGCCGTTAACCTGTTAAACGTTAAAGGGGTTCACATGCATTTGTTCTAACATACACATTGTCCTATTGTCCATTTGTACCTATTGTCCAGGCATAAATCCGACTTACTAAAACTAACTCCTTTAAGTATAGACAATTCGTTTGAACGTGAATAGCTCATAACACGGTTTTGTCATATTTAATTTTAACCAATACTTAATTTCCATAAAAAAAAAAAAAAAAAGATGTCTTGAGCGAGACGTCCCCTCGTCGTCGCCAATGGTTCTATAGCAAGCCATAAGACACAATATTTAATGTTCTCAGAAAGCAGCAAACACAACTTTTATTCTTTTTTTTTTTTCAATAACGGACAAACTTGACGGGTGACAACTTAAATCATAATATTGTGTCGAGTCTTTTAATTTCCCATCCCTTCCCCGACGTGCCTAAAGCTTTAGGGTTTATCCGGACAAAAGCTCAGTTCAAAGCAGCCGCAAAATAAACAAAAAATTACAAAAGCTTGGACGTTGCTTGCATAACACGTCGTTATGTTCTTAAAGGTGTACATACATTAAAAAAAAAAAAACAATATCTGAACGATTATTCAAAGGTCGACACGCTAAAGTTAAACAATGAGAACCTACCCCCCCCCCTTCCGAGTGTTAAGACCAAGCCAGTATTTTTTTAAGGTTAAAGCTCTGGTGTACATTTTATATTTACTGTACATAGTATATATTATATAGTATCTTGACGCTCGTCAAATCCCCCCTTAAGCGTCCAAATATCCATCAGATAAAAAAAATGACAGGTGTCAAAACTCAAAATAATAATAATAATATCAAAACCGGCGAGGGAAGCTCTATTGCCGTCAGGAAGAAGCGGGTTTGTTAGAAATATAATATAGTTTTTATAATCAATAGTTATGAAACTGTTTTTTAAAAAACACATTGCGGTAAACAACTCCGCGTGGAATATCGCTCGATACCAATCAAACGAGCTGTTCGACTACTTACTTTATACATGACCATTTTCTGACACGGTAGAATCATACGTAGTAGTAAGGTATAAAACCGTATATCCAATTACAACACAATATTATATAAAAATTAAAATTGATTTTATTAATTAAAATAAACAAAATGTAAGTATAGGGTTATATTGACTTTATGCAGGTACTTAATCACTTTTAAAGTTAAAAATATAAAACATAACTAATAAACATGTGTTTTTCTCTGGTATTTTACAAAGCAATATATATATAAATACCACGAGGAAATAAATAAAAAGATAACTAATATAACAATAACTAATAAGTAAATAAAAATGTTATCAGAAAATAAGAGAGAACATACAATCTGATAAGGTCAATATTTTTTTTTTTTATAATTAAACATATTTATTTTATTTTATTTTCAAGTTTTAATATCTTTTGTCAATAACTATTTAAAAAAAAAAAAAAAACTAGACTTCATTAACAATTATCACATAAACTGACAAGTAGTTCAACAAATTTAAATGGATTTTTTTTTTGTAATCAAACATACAATAGGATAGGATGTGTACGATTACAATTAAACGGGTAAGTCCGCGCTTAATTTTGCTTCTTTTACAGTATCGTCAACAAATTATTACCCCACCCTCGCTGTTGAAAATTATATTTTACGCATACAAAAAAAAAAAAAAAATTAATCAACGCAATGATAAAACAAATACAATTTGTAATGTAACATATTTTAAATTGTAAAAAAATATATATCTTTTAAAAAGTTTCTACTAAAAGCTTGTTACATTGTTTAAATTAAAAAAAATTAATAATTATAAAAAATAGTTTTCTGTACTTGGGGGTGGTTAGCTGTTTAAACAATGTGATTTTGAACATTTGTTCTATTTGGTTCTGTATTAGTCGTCTGGTCTTGAGACACACTGTCGTCTGCTGAACCTATAAACAAAACAAGAGGTAACAACTTGCGTTCTTCTTCTGCGGTGACATAGTCGTCAGTGTACACAGCGCATACCCTTACGACTACGTCGATCGTCTTGTGCGCTTTTAGTAACTTCTTAAGTAATACTGAAGTAATACTTCTTAAGTAAGTATAATATAACACACGACACTCACTTGTCATTGGTGTGGAACGCATTTGATGGATCGGCGGATCGTACAAATTTTGATAATCAGACGACATAGACTCGGACGTGTCCGTTTGGGATGACGCCGTATCGTAGTCGCTGTTGATCCCGTTAATTGAAGACAACACGGGTGGGTGTACGGGGACAGTGTTGGCCGTTCTACCGCGTGCAAAAATGCGTCCCTAAGTGGGCGAGCACCAGTTTGTACACGAAATGGTTTTAACATGAGACGAGACTATGGCGATTAGCGAGTACTCACTCTAAAACTTCGGAATGTACCGACGCCTAACGTGCTGGAACTGTTGATACGAGCCGGAACCAACGGTGTCCTATCGTTGGGTTCGTCGCTGTCCGTGTCCGAAGAGTATGCGACAGCGTGCAAATCTTCGTTGTCGCCGTAAACTCTACGTTTACATATGGGACAAAACCGACGATTGCGCGTCAACCAGGGATCGATGCACTTACAGTGATAAGCTACAACAGTCGGTTTATGCAGCAATGAACTTTTACATTCAAACAGTATAACATTATGTTTAACATTAAATTTTACTCACCGTGAGCACACGGTAACACTCTCAATTTTTCTCCTTCCATATAATCGTCCAAACATATGGCACACGTATCGTAAGGGTCGCCTTTGACAAAGGTCGATACTGGAATTTTACGCAACGTAGACGCCGGTAGCCTGTGTCTGAATGCCCTTCTCCTGTCTTTTATCCATTTCACTACCTGTGTTGAAAAATAACGTTTATTACTTTGATTAACTAATTTACAAAGTTTCGCGACTAGTAAGCATTCACATTTTGTTTTTTTTAAATCATCCTATAGAGTAAAGACACTTTTACAAGCAATAGAATTTTTATTTGGGTTTACTATGAAATCAATTAATAAGTTTAATTTTGCCCGTTTATCATATTTAGCCATTATTTTGAGTTTTTTTTTTCATGACTATAAAAAACTATTATTTTACGAATTATGAAGTTTTTTACTGTTAATAATATTTGTATATAAAAAAAAATCAATGTTTACAAAAATACATCAATTTTAGTGACACAAAAACGATGTTTTTTGATTGATCAATGCTATATATAATTGCTTAACAATAAAAAATAGTACCATGAATCCCAGCATTGTGAAGAAACAAACAGCCACAATTACGGCAAACGGTAACAACAGGTTCAAATTGATATCGAACGGAAACTGATTGTTGTCTATTATCACATAAAAGCTAAAACAATTGTAATGACGTACATAATAACAATTATTATAATAGATTAGTAAAATATTTTTGTGACGCGGTTGGATACGAAATATTGTCGTAGCACAACAGTGGTTAGTATTGTAACATACTTGTTTCTATACTGGTAGCTGTCTTTGAGCATATAACCAGTGTTTTCTCCAACAAAAACTGATGGAATCACTATGCCGCTAACATTTTTTCCATCCATTGGTACTAATACAAAATACGAGCGTTACGTTAATAGCATTAAACAAAAAAGTTTAGCTCAAAAATAATATGCTAACTAATTCTGCTGGAGTTGTCATTGAACACAATGGCCAATGAATAATTGCTCTTTTGGGCATTGCGAACTTTATCGTCGAAATTACACTTTCCTCTTTTGATGAGTACGAACCAAATATCCTCTAAGGAAGGCGGCGGATTTAATGGACGACAACCATATTCATCGGGAGACGCACTCAAAATATAACCCTAAAAAATATAATTGTTATAATAAACAAAATATACATCGATTTGAACAAAAAAAATTTATCATAAATTTATTCGACAAAATATAATAACTCATAAAAAGGATCCCACAAACATAAGCAATTGTTTTTAAATAAAAAAAAATTACTTAAAAATAATAAGTTGTTTTGAATATATTTTTCTTTATTACATCAAATATATTTATAATTGCCGTTTCAAATAATATTTGTTAAATTTAATTCTTATTTAAATGTTTAAAACAACCTGTTTTTTTAAATACATTTTTATTGAAATCAAATTTTGTTTAACTTATATTTTTATTATTTACGTCTTGCGTTTATTAAGATTTTTTTTTTATTTAAGTTTATTAGTACTAATCATAGGAAACTGGGCAAAATTTACATTTTATTCTATACCTAAAAAAAAGTCGTTTTTTATAAATCACAAAAACAAGTTTTTCTGGATTATAAAATCATTTAACATATTGAAAAAAAAAGTTTCAAACAAATTTTCGCTTTGAAAACAAAATCAATTTGTTCCACAGCCAATATCTAGTCTTTCGTTAAAATATCCTTTACAACTAAATCTTCAATACATAAAAGGGACATACATTTTGCGTATTATTCTAAAACTGTATTCATTTGTGTACAAATACCAAAATGTATAATATAGCATTTATTTTTTACTTTGATGCCATCGTTGGGTATTTCACTGCCGAAAGTAGACTGAGCGTCTTTGAACTCGATATTAACCTGTTGATCGTTTTTTGTATAAACTGTAATGTCACAATTAGCTGTAGTTATCAAGGCGATCAAGGCAATAAATGCCCGAGCCTTCTTCACCATGTTTGACTGTAGTTGTACAACATCTGTTTCTCAACTGAAAACATAAAATGAAAAATCATATTAAGGACTTTCTAATTATTTTTTTACAAAACAATTCACAATACGTTTAATACAAATTAAGTTTGCACTAAATTAATCTTGGACAAAAGTTAAAAGGTTATATTATTGCAAACTATGGTATAACTATTAACATAAAGTACTAAGGTCTTTAAAATTAATATTAGACAATAACCAAATTTAATCATATTATTTATCAATATTTTTATTAGGAACAATTTTTTTTAAATTAAATTACTTTTTTTTTATCCCATTAGCCAATATAATTATTTCTTACAGTTGATTTTGTATATTTTGATACATAAGTTAACACGAATAAACATAACTTAAATTTATTTTTTTGAGGTGTTACCTAGCGATTTATTTGCAGAGATCTGACATAAGGCGTTTGATGGCAACGAGCCATGTCGTTCATTGTATTAAAATCATAATACTGCTCAACAAGAGTCGTAATGGTCTACGGTGATCTTATGAAAAATCAGTAATATATTACTTATTACTTGATGACCGTGAAAGTTCATAGAAACTTTCTTCGCCTCGCTGATTACAGGCTCAATACTTCTCGACTTCTACGTAACGATTTACCCATCGCGCTAGTGGTTTGCGTAAAGCCTTTGTGGCCTAACAAATCGTAGGCACGCGGAAAAACTCCAGTTTCCTCCGTTTCACTTACTACGGTAAAGCAACTAAAATATTTCAATTCGAAAACTCGTCAACATTAAGCGTTACACAACGAACGAAACAATTCGGTAATGCACAAACAAATGTGTTTTGTCAACATGAAAATAATCTAATTTAATCCCACAATCTACGTTTGGACATAAATATTTAATATCTGAGTACAAATAATGAATAGACTGCGACACCGTTTTAGATTAACCAACAATAGACTATACACTCTAACGGGGCATAGTTATAACATAATATCATTTATACATACTACATATGTACATTGTACACAGTGTTTAATGGGAAAACGTTATTATGATAGAATTTCTCATTTGTCTAATCACTTTGTCTGTGACCAGTACGATTAGTAATTTGATAACAAATTATGTTTACCTTGTTTTGTGAAGTGAAACGTCACAAGAAATCACTTTTGCCGATAGTCGCTAGACGGCCGGACGAAATACAAGTGTCGTGTGTCGTTACCATATTTTTCTATCTGTTGGAAAAAAAGAAAACAAATCACATAATTATAGCGTGCAAGTTTGCAAGGCGAAGACAACACCGTGGTACGGTTAATTGACGGGAACAGTAGCAAAACTTATAGTTTCCAATCCGATCGATTCAGAACGTTTGCGTAGAAATCATAGAAACCTAACCTAATCATGAAACTATTATTATAATATATATAAACATGACACGAGTGTGGAATACATATATTATTATTATTATTACTGTGAACGACCACAGAAACCAATCGTGTTGCCAGCAAAAAAATCTTTACTACAACTGCAATTAAACGTGTACTGACCTTGGCTTTGGCCGTAAGTATATTATTATTATCCGAAAAATATAGTTGAGCTGATTTTCATAATCGATATTGAACGACTGGTCGGAGGTGGTTTCCACACACACAACAAAAAAAAAACCGTACAAGTATAATAATAATAATGTTGGCTAGCTATTCCGAACACGGCGTTTTCTTCATTATTTCAATTTTAAGCTTTATTATTGTTATTCAAACGGCAAACGAACAATATTCGAATTATGTCGAAATTTACTAGCCAAACGTGCGATAACAAAACAACACAGAGAGATAAAATATACTGTAAAACGCAAAACCTCAGTAAATACACTCGGTTTAGCCCGCGGTACTACTATTATGATAGGTATTGTTGTACACAGGAAAATATAAATGCATCGGCTGACGACTAAAGTATAATATTGTTTTTATTATTATATATTATATATATATATCTATATATAATAATATTAGGATATATACCTACTGTAGCGATTACATTATACTAGCGTTGAACACAATAAAATAATATATTGTACATAGCTTTACATTATACTCATATTATTATTATCACGGCGTACTTGATGGTTTTACAGGCTGGCCACTTTGTCGGCCAATAATAATTGTGTGATAATCGCGCGCACAAGTCGATATTCATTTAGCAACGATAATTACCTACCTATACCTATACATTAATTATTACTATTGTGTTATTATGTTGGAATATGAAGATTTACAAAAAATTAAAAATCCGTAAGTCGACGAATAGACGTATTAATTTAAAAACAAACTGTCGGTAAACGCATTCGAAACGCATATGAAAATGGTATCGATAAAAATACAATTAAAATTATTATAGTATATTCTGTACTGGGCAAGTGAAGCATAATAAAAACACACCGATAATAATAACAATTATTATTGTTCGTCGCCGAATCACTGATTTCCGTCGTTGTAAGGTATTTATTTATTTTTTATCATTTTACAGAATGTATCGTATGTATATATATATGTATACAGTTATATTCCACGGAGGACAAAAGCTGAGAATATTATATAATTTTTTTATTTTTACTTTAAAAATTTTAGTGTAGATGGGATAGGAAATAACTGTGATGGACAAGAGTGGGACTTTTGGGAAAAAACATTAAGGAGGGTCTTTTAAATAACCTAGTAAAAATTGCATCCCTCTGCTTAATTTTTGAGGAAACACCCCCAAAACGGGTTTTTCCCCTCAAAATTATTGAAAAATATTATACTTACGGCAAAACTTCTCCTACTAAAGTCGTTCTTCTGTAAGTTTTTCTTCGTGTAAGTCGGGAAAGCAGCCTGAAAATGACTATTTTTGAAAATTTAAAGGTACGCTGATGTTTATGAAGATTAAGATGATAACCACAACCATGTTGATGGTAACATTATTGTCAATGTTGGAAAACAGTGATGGCTGATGACAACTATGAAAATGTTTCAATCTAGTACTGAAAAAATATTGAATATTCTGCATGTCTAGTGTTGCATTAGTCATTTAAATAAGTATAGTTTAATATGACAAATTAACGGAAACTATTAAAATGGATAAAGCAATAACACATTATTGGAGGTTTGTTTATTTTAACCCTAAAATGCAATTATTTTAATTTTATTCAAATATAATCATAAAACAAAACTAAAATCTGTCCACAAAAAGCGTAGCTAATCTCCGATTTACAACAAAACGTTTAATCTGTTTGAAATAATTGTATTCTGATAATCTTTAGATATTTGTTCAGACTTCCAAAACAGATAAATCCGAATGGATGCATAAATATTTATAATACACGTGTCTGATATATGTAAATTGGTAATGACTATAACGACTGTCCGTCAAGTTCAAATAGCGCATTATAAAAATTTGCCGACTTGTGTTGTGTTCTAAATAAATCACGATAACAATAATTAAGATTATATTATATTATCTAAATAATAACATATAAATTGTAATATAATTTCAAGTAAATGTGCCAAATGGGTGTTATTATCACATTTTGGAGCAATAAAACGATAAAAGTTATTATTTTTTGCCGTTATGTAACAATAACCGATTACCCATCCAAACTATACCATTTCCTCTGCCATTTGCCTTTGTCAAGTATTTAAATTATACACAGTGCAAAGAAATACTTATACCTATTTCGTTTATCAGGTACCTAATTAGGATAATGCATAAATACAATTGGGGCCAGATTATTAGGCATTATTACAATTTTTTAAAAATTTTCCACTTTTGTTTATTTTTAAATTAACGCCAAATTTTTGCAAAATTTTCACGAAAAACATATTATACACTCTTTTGGAAAAAAGAGAAGATAATTATTAAATTATGTATTTATTTAGTTGTAAGGTTTATTTAGTAATATTATATCAATTTAAAACCAAGGTCGAAAAACGGAATATTATCTTACACATAATTATTTAAGCTAATTTTTGATTACTGTGGTCGTTTTTTTTTACTTTTCTATGCATTTTCACCCCCTTTTTTTTTAAGTTAATGAAGCTTATGGACAACCCAGTTGGAAATTTATGTGCAATTTTCTCAGTTTTCTGGAAAAAAAAAACTAGACAAATGTCCAAATTTTTGGACAACACAAAAACTCCTTAGATTATAAACTCAATTTGAACGAATTCTTGTTACTAAAAAAAAAATCAACATTTTTTTCAGAAAGCCTGAGAATAATTTTCACGAGAAACTGATTTTAAACAATTTTTTTTTAATTCTCTCATTCAAAGTATAGATAAACAACATAAATCCTTTCTACCAGAAAGCCTGAAAATGTTTTCTTTGCCAACAGAAGGACCTCACTTGCAAAATAAATACACCGTGTACACAATATAATACTTATCTATTGTGCCCGTCTGACGTCAAAAGAGCCGCCATTAGAAAAAGTAATCTACACTGAAGATAAGTATTATAATTTATAACATGGCAACGCCTCACCTACTAAGATAACTTTTTAGCGAAGAACAAAACGACGAATCACAATAAAGTCAAAGGCTAACATGAGTAATTATAGATAAGAAATACAAACATTATGTACTGTACATGTACCCTACCTTCTTCGGTAGAACGACAGAGATTTATTTCTAATAGCCCAAGTCTGATGACGTGTATATATTTATAGTTCAAATTTCCACTTAAGGTACGAATACAATAATTAACAAAAAAAAAAAAAAATGTGTACGTATTTTGATCGCATATAATTTTATTTTATTACGATTAGGCCATAATGAAATACACAAATAAAATGGGAAATTAGATTTTAATATGTTCATATTGTTTTTTTTTTTTTTTTAGATATACATTATTAACAAATAGTATCATTATTAGTGTTACAATAATGTTCTTTTTCGACTAGACTATGTTAATATTGTTTATAACAGAAAAGACACAACAACGCTTAAAACTATTAAAAAAAAAAAAAAAAAGATTCATTCAACATTGAATATATGTTTTGGTGTTTCTTTTAAATTATATATTTCGTAATATATATGTTTATTATATATATAAATAAGCTACTTATTATTTAACATTAATTTTACTAAATAAAAATTTAATTAACTATTTACAAATAATATATCTCATAAAAAAAATTACATAAATATCAGTAAAAAAAAAAAAAAATCTGGTAGGCGACATTGTCTATTATTATTATAGTTAAATTCTCACCTCGTTTTGAAAAATAACAACATTGAAAAAATTACAAACAGTTTAATAATAATTACCGTAATCGGACCAATGTCTGTTAACGATAAACATAATAATGTAATTCACGTTGAAGCGATAACATTAATTACAGAAAACTTAAGTAGAAAAACAACTCTATTATAATGATGCGGGAGGATGATTTAATAATGAGCAACTGTTTTCTTTGGTATAATAAAATTATGTATTAAATTTCCATTTTGGATGCATAAATAAATAATAATAATAATAATAATAATAACAAACGATGAGTTTGTTTTTTACAAAAAATAATTATTAACGACCGTGCGACTTAAATATCGTCATCACTGTCACCGGCATAGTCTGAAGAATCGTTGTCGTCGTACGCGTTGGCCGGCGAAGAAAAGTCTGTGACCAAAACTCTCGGCTGGTTCGACACTTTGGCAAATGTACACGATTTCAGGACGTCGTCCAAATTGGGCGACAGGATATCTTCAATGTCGGTTCCGTTACTAAAAAAATGAACGAATCGCCCGTCAGCAATGAGAATAACATTTGCAGCACTAAATATTATTATGCAACTCGGACAAGAATTCAACGACCGCTACTGCAGTGGCGTAGTCGTAGGGTGCTGCACGCCGTGTTTCATTCACCTGTGCACTTATCTTTGCAATGTATTCACACGAGATGAATACACGTGAACATAGAAAAGTGGTAGGTGGCCAAACACTGAGCGGCGTTTGGCCTTACGACGACACGTCAACTGCGCTACTGTGTTAGCTATAGCCGTACTACGGTGACTGTATAAAAGGTGAATAAATAATGACAATACAGAGGAGGCTGTCGGTGGTTAACGGTGTATGTTATCAAATTACAGGAATACGCTGTGCTAATCAACGGGGAAGGACGTCACGACAGACAAACTTACCACTGTCGTTAAACTTCGCCCCCTCAAACAACGTCTTCATCTGTTATTCTGTAATAATATTATCACCGAATTTTTTTTTTCAACTATGGGCGATAAAATGTATTAGGAAAAAAAAAAATAACAAGTATCCCGTTTAGAGAAACTTGGAAAACACATATGTTTTTCAGAGGTTTGAATTAGGTACTACTTACATTTCCTCGGGAGCATCGTTTCCGCTCTCTTCGGCCACTAACATTTCATATTCTTCAGCGGCGTATTTATCCCAATCGGACATCTGGTAAAAAAAATAAATATATATAGATAAAAAAAACAATATCAATTCATAAAAGTTTATTAAGAGTCTATTCATAAAAGCAATAACTATTGACATTAGAAATGTACACGAGCAAATGTCGTAACTACCTCGTTTTCGTTATCTCTTTGCGAAGCAAATGGATCGCGTTGCTCGTGGTCCAGATATTTCTCAAGATTGAAGAACGTATCGAAAAATATCGGTGTCATCTTGCACGCTTTGAGATCGGCTAATGATATCTTACCAGGGATTTTCGGTTTAATCATGTCGAGCATCTATAACGGACATATTTGTAAGCAATTACATTGATTTGGAATAACAGAGAACAAAATGTGTTTTTGAAATTAAATATTATATTTTAAGCAATATCCATCATCCTGTACCTGACACAAACAGTCTTCGAATGGCAAACATTCAATTCCTATGCTTTCCATTCTCTGTAATTGCTCGTCGTAAAAATATTCAAGCTCGTACATAGACAAATAACCATCGCCGTCAATATCCATACATCTGCAAAAAGAAATTAACAAAAAATTATGAACTACACTCTAATTTTTCCTATTACGATTAACAACGTTGGATTATTCTCTGTCAAACAGCGTTGTTTTTTTAATATAACATTGAGATTATAATTATCGGTTGACATAACGCACCAAATAAACAAACTAAACTAAACATAATTGTACAACTTTTACCTGAACCAATATTCGACGGCTCTCGGATGTCGCTTGTCTTCTTCGGCCATTAGGAACCATACAAATTCCGTGTAACTCATTTTTTCTTCTATATAGCTATTATTTACAGGGTGCTTTTGTTTCTTTTTGGTAACAGTTCCGGAGAATATTCGGTCAATTATCCGAGTGGATAGTGCTGCAAAAATCCAACGGCAATATTATAGATTATCAAACGACTATGGAGAACACTCAGCAACAACAGTAAGGAATATATTATTATGTCGGTACCGTGGTCACTGTGTCGGGCCAAATCGGTTTTGCTGATGAACAAATCGTGATCGCGGTCCAGTTCCCAGAATTTGCAATAAATAACATAGAAATGTTCGTAGCTAAAGAACGCCGTCACTTGGTTGATGTCCTCTTCTTTCTCCAACAAATCGATGATGCGGATCAGATCGGAACGCCTGATTTCTGCCAGACTCAGTTCGCCACTCCACGATGTGTTTACACTGTAGAATATTCTCGATATTACCTGCAATAGAAATAGGTATTTAATATATAATATATTATAATCAGAATTAAGCAAAAATTCGATTAATGAATACTTTTTTTTCTATCTGCTTTTATTGAAACAAAAATGTATTGAATAATGGCCATATCTGATTATCGTGATACAACTCTGTGGCCACAGATTACATGGCGATACTAGACTCTTAAGATTGTAATCGTTGTTTGCACAAGGAAACCAACATTTTAAACTTATTTTGACATAATTTTTGAATTTAATCGAATCAGACTTGTGGCCACAGTGTTTACCACGTCCATCACTCACCGTATGTACGTATCTGGAATGGAACTCGGGCGCGGTTTTCAGGAATGTCAAACCCGGATGAGAGTCGACCACGTCTTGGACTAGAACGATGAAGTTTTCGGGCGACAAGGTTTGTTTTTTTGAGTTTCGCACCAAGATGCGAATAAATTTTGACGGCAAGTCGTGACAAGTCGACCAAACCCTAAAGAAAAACAACGTCAACACACATTTATAGAACAGACAACACTAAACACTCTTAATAAAAAATAAGTAAGCATTTTTACTCTTTCCAATATGTGAGAAAACCGTTCAAATCAATTGTACCGGTTACATCACCGCCGCAAGCAAAGAACAATGGGTGCTTCCAGTACAACGGGCAATTGCACAACTGCAATGATAAAAAAAATTATAATACATATTATTATTTAGTAACAAAACATCTGCGCAAAGTGTATTAAGTAGTTTTTGCATAGCGTAAAATTATGTACGATACGATATTGTGTAGCGTTATTTTTTTCAATATCGGATAACGGTTACCATATACATAGTTTTAAGTCAAGCAAAAATTTCCTAATTTAAGGTTTAATGTACTCTACCTTTGCGATTTGACCGAAATGATGTTTGGCCGCCTGCGAGTTCGGCAACGATTGAAAGAAATCAGTGATCGTATTGGCAATTGTATCCCAATGTTGTTGGTTCTCAGGTTTCCCAAATGGATAGTAAAATCTGTAAAAAAAAATTAAAAAGTTAAATACACATCTAACAAAGAACCAATTTGATTAAATATCACAAATAAACGTGGTTCGAGGACGTTACCTGGGAATGAATACATTACGGTTGGCTTTTGTATGTCTTTGTAAAGTAGTGTGTGGCGGAGGTGCTCCTGGTTTGTGATTAGCTTCTTTTGAGTAATTCTAAAACAAAAAACAAAAATATCATGTAAAAAAGTTTTGTGCCAAACAATAACAATTCTACCAAGATCCATCAATTCAACCAAGACTCTGTTTGCACAATCGTCGGTATACTTTAAGTACATTAGTCGAGTATTAAGCAAGTTGGTGCAAACTGAAAACGGCCATTATTATTATCTTAAGTCTACACAAGTCTTAAGTTGGATAGTTCATCTTTAGCCGTGGTCTACACACAGGACTGGCGGATGGATGGATGGCTGTATTTAAAATTGTAATACACTTATTCGGTAACCTACCGGTATTACTGGTTTATACCGCGTATAAGGTAATTACCAAATACATAGATTATTACCCTAACCGCGGTAACAACGGTATTCTCGGCTAGATATTCTGCGAAAGGGCGAATTTGATTATTATTATGTTTTGTTAAATTAGTTATAAAAAAGCCAAGAAGGGTTGTGTCGTTATGAACAAGTTAAAAATAAAAACAACAACAATTTTTTAAACCGTTTGGAATTATATATTTTTTATAAGGATCTGTGTTAAATGTCTGTTTTTTTTTTCGTTACAAAATTCCACATAATTACCGGAATATACCGGTAGCCATCAGGTATAACACATTGAAAAAAAATAGCCCCGCCGAGGTACTAGTATATACAACTTTTTAGCTTTTTTTTAATATTATTATACCTACTCGGTAAAGGAAACCTGCCCCCGCATATACTTAAGCCGTTCCCCTAGACCGCAATTGCCAAGGTCTCCGGTGATGGTCACCCGCGTGAAAGTCTTGTAATGGCCACAACCGAGTCTCCTCATTTTTTTTTTTTTTTAAATAATTTTAACAACTTACTACCTACGATTAAAGCCTACTTTAAGCCCGGAGTCGACCTAAAAAGCTTTTTAGAATGCACTGAAAAAAAAACCATTTTTAAATTAACACTGATGGCTTATACAAATGTCTCGAGTACATTTTTGGCAGTGATTATACCGTGTGTTTAGTGTGTACAGTGTGACGAAGAACAGAAATTGCATTATTTTTGGCGTTACATAAATACAAATTACTTTGAAAACAAAATTTACAAATACATCAAGTTTAAAAACTAGTTTACTATACATAACCCATAGTTTTAAAATCAATATTTACAATCTATCTGCAATACACGCTTGTTGTCCGTTGGAGGTATTGAGATACTAAATAACAGATTTTTTGGTACGCCAAAGACCGCCAGTACTTAGACGATAAAATATACACTTACAAATTATTATGTTTTGAGGCGCATTAAAACGCGAATAGGGCTCAATTAATTATATTAATAAATACGTTGTACTTGGTACGAGCAGTATAAATAGGACATGACTAAAGAGAACGATGACGCGATTTTGGTTTTTTTAAACATTTAATTTTTAATTTTTTTTATGTAATATCATGTCGAGGCGACTGTTTCGTTGAATAAAGCGGCGGATGATTTCGCAAAGAGAGTACCAATCCGATTGGTAACTATGTACATAAGTAAGTAATATTAATAAAAAAAACCGTCTTAACCGGATAGGAACAAAAACGACAATAATTCAGAGCTGAATTAAATAACACAAACAAAACGGGTTTAGCTTCCGAATTTATAAAAAAAAATAATCTCATGCAAATAATATATTGTACGAAGTTGTCGAAAAACAAAAAACCGGATCGATACGAAAAGTGTGTGTTAAGTAAACCTAGTCGGTGGAATTTGTTATTTACAATAATATGATTGGTCCTGTGTGTTCTCGCCCAAAGACAATTAATAATTGTTTATTTATTACTCGGTACACAAAGTATAACTCGGATGCATCCTCTGTATATATTGTATACAGGATGCATATACACAGGGGGAAAGATTACTCTTATTGCGGCCATAAGGAAAACAACAATCGAGACCGATTCGCTAAACAAAGATAATATGATAATACCCTCCTATATACATTTTTTTTTTTTTTTATTACATATCTATTTCCGATTGTTTTTGCGGGCGACCATGAAAAAAATACATACATAAACCGTTCGGATTGCGACATCATCCTTCTCAAGTTAACACATGGACACGTTTTATGGAACGGATAAAATACTACCGTGTAAACGGCGCGACGGTACACACAAAAACAAAAACCAGACAAAAAAAAAAAATAGCCAAAGCTCTTAAACTTTGTCAAAGGCAGTTTCCTAAAGGGCGGAACCGACTCGTCTCGAGAAACGGCCAAACAAACAAATACAAAAATGTATAATATCGTCTTAAGGTTTTCAGAATCTCAAGCCCCCCCCCCCTCAAAAACCCACCTTGTTGTACGATCTGGGCAACCTCTGTTTCCACGGTTTGTACGGAAACCTAGGCTTGTTGTTGTGACATTCGTCGGCGTTGTTGTTGTTGTTGTTGTTCTGCAACACGAGTATTTGACAGGCATAGCACCAGGACCGTACGCTCGTTACCATTTCTCAACATTATATCACATTATATATCCGGCCGACACACACACACATCCGAGGACAGAACAACACTACACGCACTGAACAGTGCGCGATAGGTAGATATATTATGTGTGTGTTTGTGTGTGACCTCAGTTGACAATTAAACAAGGCGAACAGAAATTTTACACGGCGGTAGAAAAACAAAAAAACGTGTACAGAAAAACGACAAACGCGCGGTTAAGTTAAGACACAAAAAAAAAACTAAATAAATTACAGCTTCGAAAGCAGCAAAAATTGATTATTATGTGCTTTTTGCACATACAATTCGAGCGGCGAAGGCCACACCGCCGTTCGCGATGCGTTAACATGTTAAACTGGTGCTAAACTCTACGCCGACTACCGTGGCTGCCGCTTGTTGTTGTTATTATTATTATACTTTTTTACTATCACTATTATTATATTACTATTAAACACATGTTGACCCGGCCGACTATGGTATACACAGACACACATTCACTTATGACTTTGCCGGGGGAAAAAAAACCTGCTGCTGCTGCTGCCTTGCAACCTTCTCCCTTCCTTCCTTCCTTCCTTCCTCCACCACACACAGCTTGTGCCCCCCTCGTTTTTAAAAAAAAAAAAAAGCCCACTTACAAATATAAACACACAAACGGCGGTGTTCTCCTAGGACACTCGGCTAGAGCTATATGTATTTGTGGTTTTTTTTTTCCTACACATCAGTGGGCGGAAAAATGCATCTTTAACCGTCGTCCACCATTGCTATGTAAGGAGACTACACGACGTGATGTATCACAGTCATGTGTACGTATAATTTTATTTATTTATTATTGTTATTCACACCTCGAAAATAAAAACCACAGTCGAGTACCGATTGTTTGTGTGTGGATTAACACACACACGCACACACACGACATAAATTAATACTATTATGTGGAAGTTTCGTCGGGCAGATGAATCGATTGCTTACCACCTGTGGGATGTCAATTTTGATTAGGCGTTTTTTCTTAGATCCTCTCAATGGGCGTTTTCGACAACGTGACTACTACACACCACAGCAAGCAATACGGTTAACACGGCCAGGATGATATTGTGTGTCGACACGCAAACTGTACAGTAGAAGAGCGGGCGAATGTGTTATAAATAAAGACGGTAGGATTTACATTTTTAGATTTAATTTGGGTGGCCGGCTCCCCACGTTAGATTGTTGTACACCACGAACGGGCACATTACCATAATAGACATTAAAAAGAAATTACCGGCGAGTAGAAAGACATAACTAAAGTCGGATGCACTAATTTTGGTGACGTTTCTCAGAAGAAACATAAAGCAACGACGACGTGGTGTCACAAACACCAAGATTAATAATCTTTGTGGGAAAATCATTGAAAAATAATTGTTGCGACGATTGAATTATTTATCGAACGTCAATGTATTATAATTATTATTAATATTTATAATTTTTAACATCAAACTTTATCAACAACAAAATGTACAATAATAAAAATAATATCAAATAGCCCGGTTTTCTCTTCTACTTTGCCATATCTCATTACACGGTGAGAATTATTTCTCTTTCATTTAATCGTTTATTATTCGTGAACACAATTAGGTACCTACCAACTTGTATTTTATTGTTAATGACAGTATTTTATTTAAAAATAATAATTAAGGGGATTGCACGGGGTCTGTTTTTAAGGAGTTTTGTGAAGGCAAAAAAAGAGGTTTTACCAAATTTCGACCATGTCAATTTATTTACCGATTAATTTGTTCAGGCTACAAAGTATTGTTTTTAATTTAAATAATTTTTTCTACGAGTAAAACCCATTTTGGTTTATTTTAGACAAAAAGGCAGACACAATTTCGACTGCATAGGACGGTCCAATTTCAATTCTGTAAACAGATTCGAGTTCTTTGGCAACTTTACTATGTTATGTAAGAGGCCGATTTTCATTTAAACATTTCAGTTCCTTGTAATTAAATAAGTTACATTTGCAATTTTAACAAGATTAAAACCCAATTATTTTACATGAAAAAATCAAAAATCTTTTTTCCACATAACCTAGGAAAGTAGGTGACATTTTGTCTGGCTTTTTGGTCTAAAACGTCAACAAATAATCGCATCCACCCACTTGTTTCTCGGTCCAACCGCCGTCCATTTTAACTTATTATCCTATTTCAATTTCCTTTCTTCTTAAGACATTAAATATATATATATATATAATCATTACTGGCCCAGCTCTGATTTCAATGTACCTAACATTAAGATTTATGAATTCAACGCTCACCTGAATTTTAGAGTGTACGTCAGAACCGATGTTTTTCCAAGACTGAGTCGTGTTGGCCGTGGAGTTTCTCATCAGTTCCGTCGGGCATTTCTCGAAGATGAGCACGCGCTCGGCGACGGAACCGCGGGTCAAGAACGGACGCACCGGGTTCGACTGGTGATTGGACCGGATGTTGGCCCGCTGGTGATCGGTGAGTTCCGGGTGCGGCACCTGTTCCTGTTGCCTGTGCGCGTGCTGGTTCCTCCGGGCCGAGCTCAGGGCCGACAGCCCGATCAGGAACTCCGGCTTGGCGCGCGCGCCGACGTCGTAGCTGGCGCGGAGCACGCCCTCTTTGCTGGGCACGGCCGGCTTGTCGGTCTTCCGGTGGTTGTTGTTCTCGATGACCGAGCCGTTTTTCAGCGCGTCTATCAGCCGCTGTTCCTCCTTGGCCACTTCGTCCATGAAATCCGATTTCTTCGATTCGGCGGCCGCGTCCACATTGTTGTTGTTGCGGTACAGCCAAGACGGCGTGCCGTGATCGTGCTGGGTGACGGCCGGGGGGGCAGTCTTGACGACGGGCGCCGTGTAGTCTTCCGGGAAACACTTGCTGGTCACCGTGGACTTGCCGTACCGCTTGACCGCCGGTTTGGCCGCCGGGTCGGGGCTGGACGCTTTCTGTTCGAATTTCTGCAGCGCGTACTGTATGGAAGAGGCGAACGGTTTGGGCGACAACGACCGCGTCTGCCTGGCCGCCAACCGCGCCTTGTCTTCCACCACGAACTTGTTGACCAACCGCTCCAGACTGTTGGTGTGCGGGTCGGCCAGCAGTTCGCGCGTCGTCTCGCCGGCGACGGCCACCGCCGCCGGTTGCTGCTTCGGCTTGACCGGGGTCAGCACGGAGCCGAACTTGTCGGCGGCCGAAGTGTCGCCGCGATGGCACGTCAAGATCTCGTTGGGCGCCAGGCCCCGGGCCTTCCACGTCTGGTAAATGGCCTCCGCGTGGTCCGATATCTGTTTGGCGATGGCCGCAATGTCCTCCTCCGGCTCGGGCGCCATTTTACCAGAGGACCGGTGATTCGCCGTCGTGGTCATCGCGCGCGGCACTCGGCGCTAGTCCACGATCATCGCCGCACACGGCCCGTCCGACCGGCGGGGCGCTAAACCACAACGGACCGTCGACCTCTCATCGACGCTAACGGCACCTGAAACACAAACGCCGCCTGATATTAGCAATAATATTGTCGTACGACTAACGCGTCAACGGCAATACAATGGCGGCGTGCTCGTTCTTTCGCAGTTGCCATGCGACTCCGAACCGTGCCGGCCCGAGTAAATAAACACCTATACGCGCGGCGTGCTAATCAATATTGATATACCGACTTGTTTCATTCGTTTATCCACCTGTTCGCCGCCGTCTTAGCCATTCGGTCGGCCCTATAGGGTCCGCCGCCGTAGGTATACTTCTTTATGGACACAAAAAACCGGCTAACCGACGGACTCTTTGCGCGCGTACGACCACCACGGTGGCGGTTATGGCACGCACCGGCAAAAACTGTGCGGCACTAGTGCCATCGCCGGCGGGACAAGGCCAATAGGTCGCGTGACACCGCGCAAGCAAAATGATTAACTAAGGGCGTTGTCGAAAAACCGACAAACACAAAATACTTCCAAAAAAAAAAAAAAATATTGTATCGAGACACGCGAACGAGGTGTGTGTTTGTGTGCGCGAGTCGCGTTTCCTTATTAAACACCGTTCAAAAACGCATTAATGGAATTAAACGGATCGTAAAACGGTACACTAACAATATCGGTACAGTGCAATGCCGGCGGCGGTTTGCACGTGCGAAAACTGTATGCAAAGGCCCAAAAATAAAAGGTATCCGGTCGCACTCGGCTGTCTCGGTAGGTACATGCAAGCTGTGCGACAAGCGTAGAACGGACTGCCGACGAGGCGTTTGACTCCGACCGAACGCCGCCATGGTCGTGTGTGTCGGTATCTATATATAGATACGGTGGCAGTTTCCATTGGGTCCCATGTGCACGGTTCACCGTACAGCGTGTCCCGAAAGTGTCAACCCGAGTACTTAGAAGACAGGCATAGTCTAGCTAAAACCAAAAATTTCATTTGCCGTGCCCAAGGCCAAGTGTAAAAATCGTTTAACCTTTAATATTGGGCATCTATGGGGAGCACCCATAGATGCATAAACACCCCACTGATAGATGTATAGAGGTACATATGTCTAAAAAAATTATGTTTATAACATATTTTGATAGAAAACAATTTCTTTAGGATGCCAACCTAATAAAATGTATTCTTTCTATAAATAATTTATGTTGCATTTTAGCTACAATAGGTATTGAAGGGAGACAGGGAGAGTTCATAAAATGTATCTTGTAATATCTCAAATGACTTGAATTACTAATTATAATATAAGATAACACCCCACATACCTAGTCATACCTGAGTTCGACCGAAGTGGTGACAATCGAAATGGTTCAATAGGGACGACGACTTTGATAAAATTTTACCAGAGAGCGAAATTAAAAAAAAAAAAAATTAAAATTATTTCTTCTGTCGATGAGTTTTTTCAATATATTTAGCTTGTAAAACAAATACAAATACCATGGTTAACACAGATACACAAGGCCTCTGAAACTCGACAAAATGTCACTTGCCGCATCCTTTTGGTTATCTCATCAGACCAACAGACGCGACCACCTGTCGACCTAACTACATTTTTGAACAAATCGACGACTACTTCAATTTCCTATATTTCAAGAGCTTTTGCTGAAATTCACCGAAAACTCATTTGATAACTTGGGCGCACGTGCCAGTAAACATAATAACGTCATATCGACAACCGACGAATGGAATAAAAAAAATATGAAAAAATTGTACATATTATTGTTGTTTGTTATAAAAGTGTTTTAAATAAAAATACAGTTTACGGTTTGGGGAAACTTGAGATGTTTCTCGCCACAAAAGGAGGAGAGATTTTTTTCGACATCAGCACTGTCCTTAAGTCGTAGCATGATATTTAAATTTAAATTACTTTGGTCGTCGCGACACAATTGGCACATACTGTACATTGAAAAACCACGCCGAACATATTATTATCATCGCGCGAAATGTCGTCATTATAATATTTTGATATTAAAAATAATATAATAATATTATGTCAATTATAAACTAAAAACACATTGCCCTCCCTCTCTTTCTGTACCGCGCACTATCAACATTTTTGCAGATTTGTAAGTCTTCCAGAAAAAAATCATTCGGGTATTTTTCTTCAATTTATGTGTACAATATTTGTTAACGTGCAATCAACTCCATTTGTAACAAACATTACTCTGACGAAAATTTATCCCACTGAATAGTTAGAGTTTCAATTAATCATATAATATTGGTTAACTTTTATGGCTATTCGTACTTACAGTGTGTTTGTCGAAATCAATCAAAACACCATTAGGCGACCACCGACAGACGACCGTGTTGACAACAGTAAACAACAGTCGAATAAACCCTACGAATTGGGCAAGTGATGAACACAATTGCAATAATGTCAAATGGGATTTAATTCGTTTCCCGTCAACCACCACCGTCTCCCATTCACACCGTATCCGTCTGTCTGTCTGGATAGTCTACAGTCCACGTACAAAACAAATTTAATGTAATATTTTGGTTTTCATTCGAACGACGCCCTTCCAGATGTTACAAAAGCTCTTCTTTTTTAAGGCTTTTTCAATTTCACAGCTATAAATAACTAGAAATTCACGATTATGATTTATATTTATTTTTTCAGTAAGCAGATCGAATAAAATACCCTTACAAAACCCGAGCCTAAAGACATTTGTTTTCTTTTGACACTGAGTATAGAGTTTAACAACACTAAAACTGTAGTAGGCTAAACTATGTGTACTTCAACGTTAAGCTAATCTGGCGACAACGGACATTCATAAATCATAAGAAAAGATTTTATATAAGATGTTCTCAGTAAAACGACGAATACAGCTGTCCTCAAACCCCAACAAGCACTACCGAGACGGAAAATTGTATAGTTTTTCAAAAGTGTTTTTAAGTACAGCCCTATATGCATTTGATAATCCCCTCGTTTAATTACAGCACACGGTCGGTTATACAAGCTGTTTAGTATTATTACAGGATCCAACTTGTGACATTAACAGCTATTTTTAAGGGAATGTGTATTTATATTCTATTATATATCACCCAAGATAGTTTTGTAAAACTCGTTTGCCATAAATACAATTATTTTAAGTTTGACCTTTCTCGACTTGAGCCACAGAAATACATAACATAAAAAAAAATTAATAGCAAAATCGATTGGAAAAATACATGTTTGCCAATATAGTGATGTTTATTGATATTTAATATATGTTTTATTACACACGCTGTGGTTTAATACATTCAAAACCGGTACGTTGGTAAAATCACAGATTAGATATTTTTATCTAATTTGTGGTAAAATGCACTGTGTAAAAACAACGATGATTAAACGAGTAGATATTTGTAAACAGAAATGCTGAGACAACGAGATAATAACATGCGTAGAAAATAATTGAAACATCAGCATTAGACTTCGCCTTTGATGTTTCTGAGTTTTCTTAGACCTACCTATGCCTAATGCACGGTTCCCTACTACAACTGCAATCCGTTTAGCCATACTTATAGGTATTATAAAGTACAATATTTATCATATAAATAATATTCGACTCATTAGCCTATGTATTTTACCGACCAAACATTATTGATTATCAGGTACAATTTCCGAGTAAGCGCTCCCTTCGGGTAACAGAGGGTGCAAAGAAGTATTATGATTTATGACAATCGGGTTAAAAAAAAATGATAAGTTTAAAGTCAACAACAAGCTACATATAATTGGGTGCGGATAGGGTAAAAGCTTTAAACGACTAAAACCGGCCGACTGTTATGAGTTAAACGGAGAAAGACAACCGCTAGACGTCTTTTGCGTTTAGTTTTTTAAAATTATATAAATATTTAAAAGAAATCGATGAGGACATCTCCGCGTTAAAACTTTATAGCACATCTGAGGCATCAATCTAGTCGTGGAACGATAAAAGAATAATTTTCCACAAATATATTTATTGTCTGAGGTCCTTTGAGCAATTTTGAATGTTTACTGTACACAATACATTATACTTGTCAGTTTTTTCGTTTGTTTAAGATAGCATAATTAGAGAATCGTTGAAAAGCCTTCTGAATGTTGACCCTCTTGTTTCGAAGCACTAAAATATAATTTGCTACAGATTTGGGATTGATTCAAATTTTAGGCCGACGAGACGCCAAACACCTTTTCATATGTTCAGTATTTAAATAATTATATATTCAAGTTGAAATGCGGAAGTGCTATGTGCATTTTTTTTTAGACTGTAATATCACGCCCTACAAGTATTCAAATGTATTTGAAATACTAAGAAGTAAGTACCTATAATATTTTGTAATATACAGAGAAAAATGTTAGAATTAGAATCATTTTTTTTTTTACTAATTTGGAACCTATTAAAAAGGATCTAAAAAGCATCTAAAACAACTACCGACAAAATATGTTTCTCATATTTTTTTACACCATAGGTCCCATTTGTATTGAATACATTTGCATTGGGGATTTTAACCCAGGTCCGTCCGCGATATTAATAATAACAATAATTGTTTTCGTAACGCGATCACTGGGCTTAAGATAATTTTAAGTCTGTTAAAGCGCTAAAGGGAAAAAAGGTCATGTCCTATATCGACGAGAGAGTGTGTTCCTCGTTTATATTCATGTGTCGTCGATTATTTCCACACACTCACTGCATAAGCAAGTGATAGTAATGAGGGCAAATGCCAAAATGCGTAGATCATCTATCCGGCGTTTCTCTGTTTTCAATTACAAGAACAAAATACTACATGCTATACATATAATATCATATAGCCATTGTTCAAACGTCGAAATATATAACAATATCATAGCGGTACATAACTGCCAGTTAACGCACGCGAAGTAACATGCATAATATCACTACAATAATCATAAATAATATCAGCTTTTGTGAATCGTGTAAGTCTATTTTTTTTTCAAATTAGGTTTATGTTAAAACGCGCAAACTCTTTTTTTTTCAACTATGTTTTTTGTTTGCGTTGTACACACAAAATCACACACACACACACAAAAAAACTGACTTTTCATATTGTTGCAAATATTTAAAGTAGATTAAACTGTGGTGAAAAGGGGTAAACAATAATAGGATAACAGTCGTCGGGGCCGGATTAAAAGACATGCAAATCAGATGTAATACAGTTTAATTTCTGCTTACAAAAAAAAAATGGGCTAGTAAAAAAAAAAACATTTGCACCGCACTGTTAAACTTTTTTGTTGACACATTAAAAATAACAAATATGACAGTTCAAGTTCACTGTGTTCTTTACTTTTTATTGAAACTAGGTTGGGTTTCTCGTCTGTACATAATAAAACCTATATTTTTGGTTTAATACCAAACATTGATCGGATTTAAACCGCTGGATTTCTATACATTTAACGATTGAAAACATTACCAGAAAGATTTTTTTTATGAGCTTCTATAAAACAGTACTTTTGTATATTATACGCAATACATTTAAAACCTTCCTTTATGTTATCTCTTTGGTTTATAACATATAATACGTAGCATTTCATTCTCGTCGGTCTTGCATAAGTCTTAAGTCCCTTAGCCGCCATTAAGGTCCTTAATCCGCTTCCGACAATAGTAGAAAACAAACCTTTTTTGCACAAGTCTGCGTTTTGTAAAAAGTAAATAAAATAAAATAGAAAAATCTGCGTTGAGTAAATGTTACAAAAAAAAACTATTGAAATTAATAGGTTTTTAAACGCCGACGACAGTGTTTGATAATCGTTTTGAAACTGTGCAAATTCA